TGTTCAGCCTGCCCCTCAGGCCAGGCCGAGGCCTGGGGGTGGGATTTGGCTGAGCTGCTGAAGGAGAGGTTTCTTTGGAGGCTTACAGTCAGGAGAATGCCTGAAAGATGGAAGAACCAGGACCAGTGACCTTGAAGTGCCTTGGATTTAGATGGACTTCAGAGCGGGGTCGGTGTTCTTTCATGGATTGTGGAGATGTATTCCCTTAAAATGGAATCCAGTGAGTCTGGAGCTAAGGAGGCCTGTGCACCTAGACCCTCTCTCCTACAGTATATATATATATATTCAATAAATTGTTCCATTAGCATCATAATATGGAAGTGGACATCAATTTATGGGCGGTTAGCGCTAATGGGTACGGCTGGAAATCAACCCCTAGACTGACTAGATGAAGAGCGGGCAATCAGCGGCTCCTTGCGAGGAGTTATCGCTACAATTGTACGAGGGCTTGTTTAATACCAATTGTGGTGCGTTCCAGAGAGGTAGCTTCTGGAACGCACCGCAATCGTTCACAAAACTTCCCCATGCGTTCCGGGGCGGGTGGGTGCATGGCGGTGCATCGAAGTCAATGTGAGTGATTGCGGTGCGTTCCAGCAGCTGCCGCTCTGGAACGCACCGCAACTGGTGTGAACAAGCCTTCATACAATCACTAGAAAGAGAGAGAGAACAAAACACACACATTGCTACACAGCTGTCTTATCTGCTCACAGAGCGCCGCAGCCTCCTCAGCCCGGGACTCTGAAGATGCCCCGCCTCCCACCGAGCCACTGCACAACTCAAGGCGGGAGGACAGGACACTGCAGATGCCATCGCTCCGGAGTCTCAGAGAGGTCACTCCCCCCATCCACAGTGCAGCGGCGGAGCGATCTCTCAGGCTCCGGAGCCATGAGGCACATAAGACAGAGGCAGCTCAGACGGGCACAGTTCCTTGCATCCGCGGGCACAAAGCTTTGCCAAGCAGCCACAAGGAACTGTGCCCGTCTGAGTGCGTGCGGACGGTCCAGCATTCTGGTAGGCTCTGCAGGAAGCCAGGCCAGCTGCGCCCAAGGCAGCAGCTCGCCCGAGGCGGCCGCCTGGTTTGCCTAGTAGTAGCGCCGGCCCTACTATCTTTGGGACCTTTATGGTCCATAGAAAATCCCTTTTCTTCCCGGAATTACTCTAAGAAGACAATAATGGCCAAAGACAACGAGGCTCTCTACTATTTAACACAACTTGAGTGTCCGTTGGTGATGTGAAAACACGTTGGAAGAGTCTCCAGTGAGGCAGCTAAGGGCTCAGTAGTCACAGCAATGTCCGTCCCGGGGGAAGCTGGGTCAGATATTAGAAGGAAATGTTCAAGTCCAACAAAAAGGTTCTCCAGACCCTGAAAGATATTTCCAAAGCTGCAGAGAAGAGAGAGTCCAGCTCGTGTCCTCCCATCGGAGTCCTCTTACGGTGTGAATGATCATTTCTGAAAGAGAAAAAATGAGACATTTCATCATTTATGAAATAATATAGAAGATTTATCTCAACTACTTTTAACCCCTTCGTGACTGACGACGTACAGTGTACGTCGCCAGCATCGGGGCTGTTTAAACAGACTCCCGGCGACTTTTGCCGCCGGGAGTCTGTTTAAACTTGTAGAGCCGACTGTCGGCTTTACAACAGAAGCGATCCTGGCGACTTACCTGTCGCCAGATCGCTTTTGCGTCCCGAAGAAGGGGCCCCCCCCCCCGCCGGACACCCCC